TCACTTTCTAAAAAGGCCATTTATTTCTGTCTAGAATGATGTACAAATGAGCGTTCTTGCTCATTTTGCCTCCGAGAAACATGCAAAACGGGACGAAAAACATGGAATTTTGCTCAATTGCGCGCTCTTCTTAAAAATTCCCAAATGCATTGGTATTTAGCGAGTTCAACTACCGATGCTGGCGCTGCGCAACGCGTCAAATTACTTGTTGTCGCTTGACAGTTGACACGTGTCAGCCTTATTTTTTTAAAACCTTGCAAAAGTTGATTAGAACAACATCATCAATCACAAACACTAATGTCAACAAAACAAGTGTCAAATTACTAGTGGACGTGTAGTTATAATTTTAGCCACTAGGGACGTTTGGACTCTTGAACTCGCGAATAAGTAACAATGACATTTAATCAAAATAAGTGTCAAATTTTAATAGTTGAAGTGTAGTTATAGTTTTTTGGGCCAGTTTGAACTCGCTTGAATAACCGAAAAACCTCCGACGCCAGCGTCACTAACTGCTAACTGGGACAGTTTGATGATTGCTTTACAGGCCTTTTTCTGGTGGTGTTGATGGTGCTCAGCTTTTACCTGCAAGCAACGCTGACCAGCGTGCTGTCAGGGCCCACTTACGAACCCTCAATATCCAGCATAGAAGAACTGGTGGAGTCGGGGCTGCCCTTGAAGCTGACCGAACTGTTCAAGCTGGTCTTCGAGTTCGGAACCGGCTCCTACCAAAAGCCCCACATGTCGGAGCTGGCCAAACGGATTGAGGTTCTGGATGAGCCGCTGCTGCTCAACGTTCTGGACGCGATGATTCGCGATAGGAACTTTGCCACCTTGATGATCAATGGTGAGTACTGAATCAATTTTAATTCGCCAGGTGAATGGTTTAGCTTTTATGTTCATGCGACCGAACTTGGAAGGAACCTTCGGTTCCTTCCCAGTGGGCAACATCGATCTGTGCTTCGCGATGGGCAAAAACTCCTACGCTTCGCCACCACTGAACGCCTGGATCGCGCGCGCTTTGGAAACCGGGTTCTTCGAAAAGTTTAAGCGACTGCACCACTTTGAGTTGGCGCTGAAGTGGAACGTTGAGGCTGCTGGCAGGACCTTTGTGGTCTCCTGGGGCCAGATTGCGCCTGCCCTCAAAGTGCTGGGATATGGATATGGGAGCGCGTTTCTTGTCCTGGTGCTTGAGCTGTTGCTTGCCCAGCTTCATTCGCGGCTAAAGTGAGGCTTTTGAGGGCGGGAAGATGTCCATATACATATATTTAACTTTGGCTGCTTCACATGTGTTTCTGTGTACAAAATAATCTTGCCACTATCCCCATTCCTTAAAGCGAACTTATTTTACATAACACAAGGATGTACAAGGCGTTACTGGAAAGGAGGCCCGGTTTTTCGAGGGATCAAGAATGATTTTGCCAAAAAGCCTGTACAGGGTGTCCCAACCAAGGGCGGATCCAATTCTCTATCCAACGATGCCAAAACGAATTTTGTGGCTCGAATGATTTTTGAGAAACTTCTAAAAAAGCAGCGTCATGTTCAAGTGGATTTTGCAACTCAAAAAAAACCACGCAAATCTAAAGCTTCTTCAATTCAAGCATTTTTTGAGAAAACTGCCAACATTTCCCCATCCATGGTTCA